TGGTAATTGATTCCACAAAGAAGTTGTGCGAGGGAGAAAACTTCTTCTAAATCGCACAGTGGTGGACCGCCAATCATCCAGATGGTATGGATGGTAACGCGAGTTTTGTCGCGACGTGCGATGGTGAAATTGAGCGGCTGGAATTAGTCCGAACAATTCCTCAGAGCACTCCCCGTGATAGATGCGATAAAATACGCAAAGAGATGCAACATCTCTACGCAGTGCCAGTGTATCGAGCCGATCGGAAAGAACTCGGTCGTCGACGATTCGAATCGCTCTGCGCTGGATGCGGTCAAGTGGAAGGAGCTGGCACTGGGGTGCCCCGGCCCAGAGATGAGAACAGTATTCCATGTGGGGCCGAACTTGCGCTTTGTAAAGTTGCAAGCGATGTGCCGGCATGAAATACTGTCTCGCTCTGCTGAGCACGCCAAGCTTTTTAGAGGCCAATTTGGCCTTCCCCTCCAAGTGACCACGAAACTGCACGCTATTCGATATGTCGACGCCAAGGATTCCGATACTGGCTGAGGCAGCAAGGGGAGTGCCTTGAAACTGAGGAGATACGACAAAGGGGTTCTTTTTAGCGGTAAACGCGCAAACTTGTGTCTTCTGGGGATTGAACTGGACTAGATTTAGTCGGCCCCAATCCGAGACTTTGTTAAGCAAAGACTCGACTTCAGACACAAGTTTGTCCCGGTACTCGGCGACGTTTTCCCGAGAAATATTGGCACGGCCGGTATATAAGGCATCCCCAGTGCTGTCGTCTGCATAGCAATGAATGCTACCAGTTAGCAACATATCATTGATATGCAGGAGAAACAGCGTTGGTGATAGCACGCAGACTTGTGGAACACCAGCGTTGATAGGCTTGTAATCAGAGCATGCACCGTCTACTACGACCTTGATGCTCCGATCAGCAAGGAAACTGGTGATCCATTTGCACAATTTCTCGGGAAGCCCATAGGAAGGAAGCTTCGAAAGAAGCGCCTTGTGCCAGACCCGATCGAAGGCCTTCGCTATGTCCAAACTAACGGCCAATGCCTCCCCCTTGGACTCTACTGCCTCCGCCCATCTATGAGTTAAGTAAACTAAAAGATCACCTGCTGATCGACCCCGACGAAAACCGTACTGACGGTCACTGATCAGCTGGTGATCCTCAAGGTACCTCATGAGCTGGCAGTTTATAATGGATTCCATTATTTTGGAGAACAAGGAGGTGATGGCGATAGGCCTGTAGTTGGACGGGTCTGAGCGGTCGCCTTTTTTAGGGATCGGGTGGACCAAAGCTGTCTTCCATGAATTCGGGACTACGCCTTGGGAGTAGGAGTACCGGAAAAGACGCGTTAAAACCGGTGCCAACTCCGGAGCACACGTCTTCAGCACAATGGGAGGGACTCCATCGGGCCCACTCGACTTGCTGACGTCCAGGGAGAAGAGTGCTTTGCGAACCGAGCGCTGTGTAAATCGCACATCCGGCATGGAGCACTCACATCGCGGGATGGTCGGCGGTGTGTTCCCCCCGTCATCTAGAGTCGAGTTGGACGCAAAAAGAGAGCACAACAGATCGGCTTTCTCTTTTGCGGCATGGGCCAGTGAGTCGCCCTCTCTGTGCAGAGATGGGAGGGATGGCTGACAGAAGTTCCCTTGGACAGCCTTGGCGAGAGACCAGAATGCACGGGTTCCCGAAGGAAGGCGAACTAGCTTCTCGCCAATTCTGCCGATGTGCTCAGACCTTGCCTTGGCAATGACGCTTTTGAAGGACCTGGAGGCGGAATTATACTTCTTTTTAAGTGCGCTGGTGTTTAAATCCCGAGACGTTGATGCGTCAGCCCAGGCCCGGTAGCACTCCTGCTTATAGCGTGATGCTATTTTACAGGAGCGACCAAACCATGGCTGGGATCTGCCTCCGATGGGCACCACAGAGGATGGAATAAAAAGTTCCATACCCTGAAGTACCACATCAGCAACAGAATCGGCAACAACGCTGGGATCTTCCGGCGAGAAGCAAACCCGCCCCCAAGGGTAGGATGCAAAAAAAGACCGCATCCCGTCCCAATCAGCTGACCTATAGTGCCAAACACGGCGGCAAGCTGTAGATCGCAACTGCGATTGGAGCGTGAGTGGCACTGTGCTCCGGATCAGACAATGGTCCGAAGAGCCCAGAGGGGCATCGACGGAGACCTGATATCCGTCCGGATGAGAGGTCAGCAGAAGGTCCAACAGGGAAGGTACATGGTCTTCCACATCTGGGATCCGCGTAAGCGAAGTAACCAGTTGTGTTAGACCATATGCCAAAGCAAAGTCGTAGACAGATCTACCCGCATGATCGGTTGAACGAGAACCAAGCCATTCAGCGTGGTGGGCGTTGAAATCACCGAGTATCACGATCTCTGCGGATGGGACCTGTTGTAGCACGGAGTCTGCAGCCATTTGGACGTGGTCGATGAGTCGGTCTGTGTCGGCATTACCGCTATGGGACCTATAGAGGCACCCGTAGACGCGGGGATGGTCGTCGCTGTCTACGCGCAGCCATAGGATGGACAGGTCCGTACCTTCAAGGCTGCCGAGGCGTCGAAAACAGATGTCCTCTCTGACGTATACACAAACTCCAGCCCGGGGCACAAAGGAGTGTTCCAATTTGTACCCCGGGTAGGAGAGATATGAAGTATCAGCCGGAGAGGACACCTGAGTCTCGGTTAAAAAGAGCAAGGCCGGCTTCGCCGTCTCTAGATGGTAATGGACAGCGTTAAGGTTGGAATGAAGTCCCCTGATGTTGCAAAAATTCACGGATAGCGTGACAGGGGTCGCCTTGGTTGTATTGCTCCGCTTGCCCCAAGCAGCATTAGTCACGAGCGGAATTTTGCCCCCCCCAGAATACGCGGGGCAGCCTGAGCACCCACGCTCAGGAGTGAAGTAGTTTGTTCGTGGATGCTCAGCGAGGGATTCTCCAGGGTTGCTGGTACCCTCCTGGGGTAGTCTTGTATTTAATTCCACTACCATGTTGATGGGGGGGGGGGGGGGGGGGAATTGGGCCTCCGGCCACCTGCACTCACCAAACGCAACGCAGAGGTAAACCTCTACTTCACGCTGGTATTCTGTGAGGTCGTGGTACCACCCCGGTTCGAGCTGGCCCATCCGTGCGACAGCAAAAGCTACCGCTTGGCTCTACCACTGTTACCACTGAATAGAATAGAATAGAATATTTTTTATTCAATATACATTACATGTATATGAAATATACATGTAATGTATATTGAATACCGAGAGAGTCTCTTAGAGATAAATTTAAAGAAATTAATATATTAACTTTGGCCTCTCAGTATATTTACGAAAATTTAATGTATGTTCACAAAAACAAAGATAGATTTAGTAAAAAAAGTGATATACATTCTGTAAACACTAGGAACAAACACAAGCTAGTGATGCCATTTTCTCGACTCCACAGAGTCAGTAATTCATTCTTGGGGCAATGTATACGCTATTACAACAAGGTCCCGGAAAGTGTACAGGTTCTCTCTATTACCAAGTTTAAATGTTTTATTAAGATGAAACTGTATAAAAAGGGTTATTATAGTATAAATGAATACATGGTTGATAATAACCCCTGGGAATGAGGTGGTCGCTTCCAAGCAGTTTCTAAAATAAATTCAATTATATCGAAAAAGATTAAAATATATACTTATAGACAAGTTTGATTAATATTCGCGGCTATGTAACCCTAAGATATATATGACCATAACGTGTCATAACGTGCCATCCCTTGAACCATCACTGCCCAAAGTTATCCTGAGGGTCACCCGCGTAAACCAAGAGTATCACGAATGAATCTGTACGAGGGTATACTTGTATAAAGGAGGCCTACAATAACTACCAACTAAAAAATAATCGAAAGTAGTAAGTAAGAAAGATTTCCCCTGTCTATTCCGCATAGGAAAAATAAAGCTATAGTAGTAATCCATATAAGTCGTTTTCTTCATAAAATGTTTAATTCTTACAGTTTACAATAACATTACAAAGTTATAATGCAGCTAATTTTACGTGATTTTCTATGGAGTTGTAACGAAATTTTTACTCATCCGAGTGCACTTTATAAGTTGGTGGACTATTACTCTTTAACTTGTTAATTCTACTTAGCTGTGATAGTTGTCTTTTTAACTTCATTATATATACTACTACCATGTATACCTCTCACATTTCCAAATACTGCGGTTTAGTTGATAGAGGGGGAGGACACATGACTCTAATGAAAAATACCACAAACCCTTCGCAAACCGGAATCGAAAAGATTTTCTTCCATACCCCCAGTGTTCTTGAAAGAACTGTCCAACGATTCCCCACACAATGGAATAGACGGGTAAAAAATCATCCTCTGTTACAGGTACAGCTAGTATGAGAGGTATCCAAAATAAAATAGTTTTTTGAGATTTTATTTCACAGTAATATAACTGTACCAAATTACAGATTTGTAGCTCCTAGGGTCTCTGAGTAATACCGCGGACGGACGGACGGACGGACATGGCGAAACTATAAGGGTTTTTTGTTGTTTAACTGCGGAACACTAAAAATGGACAACTCCATCAACTATCACAAATAAAATCGGTTAATTCCTGGCTATTACCCATTTCTGGATGTTTTCTTTTACGTAGAACATTGCCATTCTGTTTGTCAGTACACGTCATTCAAAACATCTGCCTTTCGATATGAGGTACTTGTTTTGCATAATTTCGAAAGCACTCCGAGATACCGCAGGCTCTTAAGTGATGTTCCGGGTGATATTAAAGCTTCATTGTAAACAAGTCCGACTAATTAACTGAGATTATCGCTACTTAGCTTATTTTGTAATGGAATTTTTTTTGTAATTTAAAAAATAACGTTAAACTTCCATAAATTATACTTGGTAAAACGGTGTTAAATTTTTAATCGGCGTGGAGCGGAAGCGGGAGCTTCTTTATTTTAATTTTATAATTGAACTAGAATCTAACCATTGTTTTACTTCTTCCCAGATCGTACTGAACTCGATGCACCGATATCAGCCCCGCATCCACCTGGTGAAGGTCCGCGAGGGCGGTGGCCCAATCACCGACTTGTCACGCGAGCAGCATCGGACCTTCGTATTCCCGGAGACGGTGTTTACAGCAGTCACTGCCTATCAGAACCAGCTCATCACAAAGTTGAAGATCGACTCCAACCCTTTTGCAAAAGGTTTTCGGGACTCATCGAGACTCACAGATTTCGACAGGTAAGAGATCCGGAGACACTGTAGTGTCTCACGCCAAGTACACGTTCAACATATGTATATGTATGTAAACGTGTCGGCGTGAGACTACAGTGTATACTTATATTCTCGAATCAGATGTCAACATAACCTCACCAAATTTTTAACTTCATAAATTTAATTCTATCTATCAATTATTTCATACTTTTCAATATCTCAAATTTTTGCTTGCTCAGTTTTCCGATTCCACAAAAGATTTTATTAATTTCGGTGGAATTTTTTATCTTTTTAAAGAGTGTGGACTTGAATGCTTGTCTTTTACGCCATATTTTCATTTACTTATTTTCAAGATTTTTGGCTTGGATGCTTGTCTTTTAAGCCATGTTTTCATTTATCGCAACTTGAGTCAGCAGATAGTTGGCAATATTACCTCAAGGCGTCTAAGCAGATAGACACCTTATGTTGAGAATATTGGTATGGCGGTAGGGATGCATCCCTCCCGCCATACCAATATTCTTGCAACATCGCTGTGGTTCGGCGTCAATCGCCGTCGTGAGTGGACATTGTTTCGGTTGTTTGCAGCGGCTCAAAAAGATCGCTGTACAAATACACAATATTCGAATAACCAAATTTCTTAAATACTTGATTATAGTAATAATAATAAGAGATTTTTTTATTACAATATTTTAAAAGCACAGAATAAATAATAGTAGTATGTACTAAAAGTAAGTAGTATCAATTTTTTTGTCATGGATGAAATTTTCATGGTTTTCGAGGGTGTTGAAGCCGATAGTGCTGTCGAAATGTAAATCCAACATGGCGGCTGCAATAGATATCAATTTTTTCATCATGGGTGTCATTGTCATGGTTTTCGAGGGTGCTGAATCCGATAGTGCTGTGGAAATGTAAATCTAAGGGGGCGGCTGCAATTGGTATAAATTTTTTCATCATGGGTGTCATTTTCATGGTTTTCGAGGGTGTTGAAACCGATAGTGCTGTCGAAATGTAAATCCAAGGTGGCGGCTACAATAGGTATAAATTTTTTCATCATGGGTGTCATTTTCATGGGTTTCGAGGGTGTTGAAGCCGATAGTGCTGTCGAAATGTAAATCAAAGATGGTGGCTGTAGTGGGTACCAATTTTTTCATCATGGGTGTCATTTTCATGGTTTTCGAGGGTGTTGAAGCCGATAGTGCTGTCGAAATGTATTTAAACTACTTTAAAAAAAATCGTATAATCATGCTATTCGTAATTTTTTTAATGCGGCATGCTCAATTGGATTTACCAATTTTTTATATTTGAATTCAGCTGACTTAACTCCGTCTACAACAGCTATATTCATATCGTAGTTTTTCAGACGCCACCGCTATTGTGGTAGGTTTTGAAACCTCTATTTTCAGTATATAGTGGGACACTTTTTCAACTTTCGCACCTTATAAGATGGTTCTCCTTCTACTCTACACTCCATAGTTTCACTCCACAGTTCACACCACAGACTAATTAATAGATTATACTTAGTATAGTTACGTCTTAATTACTCGACTCCACCGAGTCAGTAATTCATTCTTGGGGCGATGTATACGCTTTTACAACAACTGGAATTTTTTAAATATACTAAATTTGACCTGCTCAAAGTTCAAAAACTTTTATTAAACTAAGTTTGTATAAAAAGGGTTATTATAATAGTAAGGAATTTATGGATGACAATAACCTCTGGGAATTAGGTGATCACTACCATACTATTTCTAATTTGTTGTGTAGTTAATTGTGTACATGATTGTAAGATGTTATTTAAAAATAAAGTCCCGCTGGGTTTGTTTGCTGGTTCTTCCCAGGACAGAGGTTTTTTTCCGAACCAGTTGTAATAACACAAAAGAGTAACTTTCAATAAGTATCATTTATAATTTATATTGAATAAAAAAGTTTCTGTTTCTATTTCTACCGAATGTCTATACGATACTTTTCTACTTGGATACTCTGGTGCAGTTATAAAAATATTTAATTGTTAGTAGAGTTTTATTCAGAGGTACATTGAAATTCAAAGTCAAAGTTTTATACCTAAGTTGACTGTATAATGAATGGAGACTTTATTATATAAAAACATCACTATTGTTATGAAATAAGTACCTATTTAATATAATTCTTAAAAAAATAAGCAAAACCCGGTCTCGATACCTTAAATTTTTCGAGAGTTATCGTGACCAGGTAAAAAAATGTGGACGTCCACGAAAATTTTTTTCAGTTTTCTTAAAATAGCAAAATAAAATTGATTTGTACAAAATATGAGATATATTGATTAAATTTTCTTGAAATAAATCTACTCATATTATCTTATGAGTGCGAATCAGTTGTTGTAGAGGTTGTTAAAGAGCAAAAAAAATTCTTTACCTTGACGTGTTGAGAGTAAAGCACAAACTCAACCGCTTCGCGGTATGAGGTGTGCGATATTTGAAAAAAGAAAAAGAAATTGTGTACTTTAGAAATGACGATACTCTTAATAATGCACACCAAGTACTCCATTTTTTTATTATTACTTTTAACAGCAAAATTTTTTTTCGAATCTAAAACGGTTATGTACCTACTTCGTTTTTTTTATTTTATAATTTTTTGTAAAAATGTAATTATTATTTTTGTAACTATAGTTGAAAGTGTACTTGGCGCGATGCTTTACAGTGAAACTGTTTTTGTTCGGATTAATCAATATTATATAAAGTTAGCGCACCCGTATAGTGGTGAAGTCTGAAAATCTGTGATAGTTTTAATGCTTGTGTGTTGTGGAAGTCAACCACCGATCTGATGGTTGTATATAATGTATATTCTTCATATAACGATTTGTTAAATCGTTGATTGAATGAAATGATTGAATAAGTAGATAATTGACTGTAAAAAGGGTGCTTGAAACGGGTAGCAAAAACCAAAAGTTCTTTCACACAACGAAAAGATAATTCGCGATAACAGATTCGTCTCAAAGGACGGATTCGAATGTTTTCACGATTCTTTAATGATGAAAATTTTCGTCGTGTGTAAAAATGATTAAGAAGTTCATGAACGACTAAAAAATTATAAGAATTTGTCATGAATCACTATCCGACGTGTAAAAGAGATGTAAAGGTCAATGCCCCGCAAACCTTGTGCCTCTGACAGAAAACAAAACAACCACCTAGAAACGGCCCTATTAAAAAAAGAATTCCAAAAAAAACACGGGCTTGTTTTATTTCCGTGAATTTGTATGGCATGCAAATGTTAAGCTTTTTCGTACTAAACAGACTCCTGCAAAGGTATTAAAGCCATTTTATTTTGCAATTTCGGTTTTTGACAATTTCATTACTACTAATGTAAATGGATTTTGACACACTATCTCATAGACCGCCACACTTTTTCGTAATAGACTAAATCCAGGGCAAACTAATATCCTATACGATTTAAAATTCCTGTTCGACTTTATGCTACCTTTACTGATACTGCGTGCACGGCGTATTATATTGCGACTTATGTTAAATCGTATTTTACCCTTTTTTAGTAAAATTGTGTTAAGTAGGAAATATCTTTCCATTAGTTACATTATTTTTCACTAAATGAAAAACAATGGAAAATGGTGGGAAATACTTTCTTAATGTCAAATATGAAAACAAGGTACAAATCTTAATTAATACCACTAGAAAGATTTGATTACAACTTCATATTATGTACAAAATAGACTTAAAAAAAGGGTTTTCAATTCAACGTTTTTTGGAACGAAGTTACTTATGGGATGGTACGAATTTGGCGGATGTGGGCTAGGCGAGAAAAAGTGTAAGATTTTACTGTCACGACACCTTCTGACGTAGTGTAGACGGGCTTGTTATAAAGAAGCGAGATGGAATAATGTCCATCTCCCTCGCACTACTATACGTGGTAGAGCCATGCTGCAGCTATATTAATTGTATAGTTGTTACACGAATGGGTCGGCTCGACCGTGGAAGGACCACGCTCTCACAGAATACCAGCGTAAAATAGCAGCTTAATGCTGCTGTGTTTCGTATGGTGAGTGTAGAGAACCGGAGATCCTTTTTACTTTAAAAGAGGTATTCCATTTTAGTCCTCACTGGTGACAACGCTTCTGCATTTTGATTCTATATTGAGGATAGTTGTAGATGTCTATGGGTCACAGCAACCACTTACCTTACCTTACTGTGTGCTCGTTTGTCACCCTATCCTATAAAAAAAAAACTTTGTCTTATCTTGCCATGAAAGTAATATAATTTTATTTTAAATGACGCTTCATTTAAATATACGCCAGTAACTAATTTATTTGTATTTGTTAATCAATAATATAAAACTTTTATCAATAATAATGTACTACGAAAAGAACTTCGTTCCAACCGAGTGTTACACGACACTCACGCATGTTTTTTTTGTTTGTATGATACACGATATCTTCAGTTGTAAACCGATTTTGATGATTATTTTTGAAGTTATACTTCTTTTGGGCCTTTGGGAAAAATGATGACAGCGAATTTTAACGATGCGCCGACACCTAAAAAGACACCATTTTGTTGTTGACGTTCGACGTTGTTACGATGCGCGCGCACATTGTTTTGTTACGCTAAAGAAGTATAACTTCCTACGTGCGTGTACTTGTGCACACACTTTTTTCATTAAATAGGTTATTCTTCAGGGATGATCCCATATAAAATTAAATAAAAAGTCCCTCCTCCCCCTCAGGGTGTCAGAAGAGGGTATAAAGATTTTAATTGATATATAAAGATTTTAGATGACATTGAGATTGCAATATTTTTAGTACATTCAAAATAGTAAAAATATAACTTTTATTAAAAAGTAGAATCCGACGATGAATAACAAAAAAGATTAAAATAATTTCTTAAGCTAAAGTCGTGCTTTGATTCCTCTATACATTTATACCTGGTAGAGCCACGCTGCAGCTATATGATGGCTGTGGCACGAATGGGTCGGCTCGACCGGGAAAGAACCACCCTCTCAGAGAATACCAGCATAAAATAGCAGCTTAACGCTGCTGTGTTTCG